GTACATACTATACACATACACAAATGCAGAAATAAAAAATCTCAATGAAAATTATTTTGTGGTCCTGAAAAGGACCGATTTGTATAAAATTTATATGCGCCTGTCGAAAAAATATAGACTTAAGCACGCTCGCCACGAATACGTCTGGCCAGTTGGATGTCCTTGGGCATGATTGTGACACGCTTGGCATGGATGGCACACAAGTTGGTATCTTCGAAGAGACCGACCAGATAGGCTTCGCTAGCTTCCTGCAGTGCCATTACTGCCGAGCTCTGGAAACGCAAGTCGGTTTTGAAATCCTGAGCGATTTCACGAACCAACCTCTGGAAAGGCAGTTTGCGGATCAGCAGCTCGGTACTCTTCTGGTAACGACGGATTTCACGCAGGGCAACAGTGCCAGGGCGATAACGATGAGGTTTCTTCACGCCACCGGTTGCTGGAGCACTCTTACGTGCGGCCTTGGTAGCCAGTTGTTTGCGTGGCGCCTTGCCACCAGTGGATTTACGAGCAGTCTGCTTGGTACGGGCCATTTTCACTCTCAACGTTTGAAATTCGAATTCACAATAAGCTATCGCTGAACCCAGTGCTAGCTTATATAGCATTCTGCTGTGCTGGTGGAGGGTTGTAACGAGAGAGCGAGATCAGCCGAAGCGCGCCGTTTCATTTCCCGAGCGAGATGCACACATCATTCGGACTCACTCGTTTTTCTATGGTGTTTTGGTATAAATAGCAGTGAGAGGGTTACCTGACTAAACATTCGTTCCTGACATCCGAAAAGTGAAGCAAGCATATTGAAAAATGACTGGTCGTGGTAAAGGTGGCAAAGGCTTGGGTAAGGGAGGCGCTAAGCGTCATCGCAAGGTTCTGCGTGATAACATCCAGGGTATCACGAAGCCGGCTATCCGCCGTTTGGCTCGTCGTGGCGGTGTAAAACGTATCTCCGGACTCATCTACGAGGAGACTCGTGGAGTGCTGAAGGTGTTTTTGGAAAACGTTATCCGTGATGCCGTCACCTACACCGAACACGCCAAGAGGAAGACAGTCACAGCCATGGATGTGGTGTATGCTCTGAAGAGACAAGGTCGCACGCTGTACGGCTTCGGCGGCTAAGAAACTGTGTACAGTCCGCTGTTCAAAAGTATCCACAAAGTAAACAATCGGTCCTTTTCAGGACCACAATATAATCTAAAAGAGGCATATTTTCAAGAATTCAATTTTACTAATAGACGTTGATATTAATATTATAAAGTAACGGAAGATTCATAGCAGAACAAATTAACCGATTGCCAAGCCAACATCTCCCATCTAAGCGATCGGAGAGAAAATATGTATATTTAAATACCCTAGAATTCGTCTTTCAGACGTGCCGAGCACAACTGTACTTTCTTGGGCCCATTTTATGTACTTCAGAATGAAAACAAATAATGAAAATGTTCTAAATTCCCTAGCCATGGATTGGTCGTCCTGAAAAGGACCGAATTGTGCGCATACCTGGCGAGGGATATTGCTTAGGTATAATTCGCCTTGTAAAATAGGGTTCGGAAATGCACTGGAAAAGGGATCTTGATCTCAGGTACACGCGTAGGTAGACGAAATATGGTCCCTCCTCCAGACACTCGGTCATTTGCATTCCGTTGGCATATTTCATTCGTCTTTCAGGCGAGTCGAACACAACTGTACTTTCGTAGGCCCTGGTACCTTCTTCATTATCAATTAACAGTTGACAATTAATTAACGCGTGGAGCACAGGCAAAAACGTAGCCCCTCCCCGTCGTCCCAACCGACCCAAGTAGATTATACTTTAGAATGATAATAAATTATGAAAATTCTCTTAGTTCTTTAGCCATGGGTTGGTCGTCCTGAAAAGGACGTTTGGGTTTGTGTGTAGGTTGCTATTGGAACATTTATGCCTTCTTCTCGGTCTTCTTGGGCAGCAGAACGGCCTGGATGTTGGGCAAGACTCCACCCTGAGCAATGGTGACGCCTGAGAGCAGCTTGTTCAACTCCTCGTCGTTGCGGATGGCCAGCTGCAGATGGCGGGGGATAATTCTCGTCTTCTTGTTATCACGGGCAGCATTGCCTGCCAACTCAAGAACTTCAGCGGCCAAGTATTCCATCACGGCAGCCAGGTAGACAGGAGCGCCGGCACCGACACGCTCGGCATAGTTGCCCTTGCGCAGCAGACGATGAATACGACCCACTGGGAACTGAAGACCAGCACGGTTCGAACGAGACTTTGCCTTTCCCTTCACTTTGCCACCTTTACCACGACCAGACATTTTGCGAGTATTTGTTGTTGATTTTCACTAGAAACGTTCACAAACGAATGTTGAATGTTGACAGCCGACCGATTTCTCGTATGTATACTTTTTCCGTCTGCAGGGGATTAAACCAGGGTGGGTTTTACGCCTGTATGCTCAACTTGAACAGACTGCTCGAATAAAAGTATAAGGTCTTGTCGGCTAAGTCCGCAAAGCATAAACTGTATACGTGGAAGTGAACTAAAATGCCGCCCAAGACTAGTGGAAAGGCAGCCAAAAAGGCTGGAAAGGCTCAGAAGAACATCACCAAGACCGACAAGAAGAAGAAGCGCAAGAGGAAGGAGAGCTATGCCATCTATATTTACAAAGTTCTGAAGCAAGTCCACCCTGACACTGGTATTTCGTCGAAAGCGATGAGCATCATGAACAGCTTTGTCAATGACATCTTCGAGCGCATTGCCGCCGAGGCGTCTCGCTTGGCTCATTACAACAAGCGTTCGACCATCACCAGTCGGGAAATCCAAACTGCTGTGCGCCTGCTGCTGCCGGGAGAGTTGGCCAAGCACGCTGTTAGTGAGGGAACCAAGGCTGTCACCAAGTACACCAGCTCCAAGTAAATCTGTTTCTCTGCAGAACCTACGACAAAAAGGCCCTTTTCAGGGCCACAAAACATTTTCCCAAAGAAACACCATTTTCGATATTGACAAGCGAATAAAAATTAGCTAAAAATTGCTGATAAAACGAGAAGGAACGTGTGAGTCGTTTCTGGGGACACGACTCTACTTATACCCGTACTCAGTCAGTATATACATACACTTTTGAGCTTATGATTTTTTAGAATTTTAGAAAAAAAAAAAAATTTTACATTTTACATTTTTTTGCTACATATTACATCTACATATAAAATGTCTATTATACATCTAACATGTAGATTGTACATGTTCCATCAAGTCTACATCCCTCCGCTAGGGGAATGGCAGCCAAAAAGGCGGGAGAGGCTGCGAGAAGGAAAATGAGTTGTGTTGTCTCGGCGGGAGGGGGAGGGGAAGCAATGAAAATTATCATTCTGGCTATAATTATGTCCGATCTGATTCAGATTCGGCAGCCTGACATATGGTCATTCTCTCGATACGCGTTTTAGTTTTATCGTTTCTTAAAAACTTGTCCAGACATTTTCGTCCTTTGGGGGGCGGAAGGAGGCGGGGCTTAATTACAACTTGTAGCAGTGTGATATCACGAGTCTGGAAACCAAATTTGGTTGCCCTAGCTCTTATGCCGGAGATTAGTTGGCCAACACGCCGGACAGACAGACAGACAGACAGACAGACAGACGGACAGACAGACATGGCTATATCGACTCGGCTATTGATGCTGATCAAGAATATATGTCCTTTTGGGGTCGGAAACGTTTCCTTCTCTGCGTTACACACATCCACTTTTACCACAAATCTAATATACCCCTTAACTCTTTTTTGAGTACGGGTATAAAAATCAGTGCAATAAATTTCACGAAGCTGCAATTTACAGTATTCAATTTACGACCACTAAGACATCCGTACAATCCTTGCCAGTAGATGCAAGTCATTTGTGGCGTCAACAACTTTTTGCCTTTTACCGCTTTTTCGTTTCGTTTTTAGTTAATTATACCCGTACTCAAAAAAGTTAAGGAGTATATTGTATGTGTGGTAAAAGTGGATGTGTGTAACGCAGAGAAGGAAACGCTTCCGACCCCATAAATCAGCATCAATAGCCGAGTCGATATAGCCATGTCCGTCTGTCCGTCCGTCTTGATGAGCGCCTAGATCTCAGAGACTTAAAGAGCTAGAGCAACCACATTTGGTTTCCAGGCTCATGTGATATCACACTGCTACAAGTGCATTTCAAAATTTCACCCCGCCCCCTTCCGCAACCAAATGGACGAAAATCTGTGGCAGGCACAATTTTAAAGATACGATAAAACTAAAAGCGCAGTATCGTAGAGAATGACCATATCTATCAGATTGCCGATTCTGGATCAGATCGGATTATAATTATAGCCAGAATGAAGAAATTAATTTTCAGTTGCTTGCCCCGCCTACTTCAGCCAAAGACCCGCTACTCATTCTCTTTCTCGCTCGCACATCTATAATCTACATGTTAGATGTATAATATACATATTAGATGTAGATAAAAGATGTAGCAAAACAATGTTAATTCTAAAATTGTAAAAAACTATATGCTAAAAACTGTATATACTGACTGAGTACGGGTATAAGTAGAGTCGCGTCCCCAGAAGCGACTCCCACGTTCCTTCTCGTTTTTTTTTTTCATTTTTCTATTTTAGGTGCCTTTATGCGGTAAAAACAATGATGCCACTGTCGATAATGCGGACTGCTTAAATCATTTGACAGTGAGAAAGAAACAACAAAATTAAGGAATGTTTAAATTTTACATTTAAAGCTAAAACAAGCAGAGTGTTATTGTTTAAGAAACAGCTTATATAAGATATTAGCCAATTTTAGATCTAGCCTGAAATAGGTTAAGCTGGCAGCACTGATCAGAGCTGGAGGCACTGTTAGCGGTGAAAGTTGCGCGTAACAGCACAAAGAGGAATTATTTCAGATCGTAAAGTTATGTATGCGCTTAATTTGGAATCTATCCAATAGGTGGCGCGAGCGCCTGCAGATGACAGTTCATATTTGAAATAGAAAAAGAAAAAAATAGACGAAATCTGACAATTGTTTAGAAAAATGATCATTGTTTTATTTATGAAATAAATTATTATTATTTACATTGGAGATAATGCACGAAATTCAAATAATATTGCATACGTTGCGGCAGTTAGCACTGAAGAGCACTCTGCCTTGTTCTTCTACACACTCGAAAACAAACATCTACAATTAATATACGACTCTAGAAATACAAATACAGGGTGATATATAGAGTACAGATATATATATTTATATACATATATATATATAAGAGTAAAAAAAAACTGGAATGGTGCAGCCGTGAGGGTATTACTGTCGGATCTGTGCAGAATCGCAGAGTACATTCGGTGGAACGCGCACTATAAAATAATTCATCGTTCGCTCGTGCTTGCTGCCTCTGCCTGCCGCAGCTACTGCCGATTTTTGTGGGGTTTGTGGGTTCTGCGCGTGGACTGTGGATCCATTGTATCTAGTATAAGTTTACGTAACTAAAATGCGACTATGAGCAAGTCGATTTGGCTTGGGGAAGCTGCCAGCCGGACTGGGTATCGATCACCTCAAGCTAAACCAAGTTACTCATAATTTGGCTGCAGCTGTGTCCTGCCACTTGCTGGGTGTGGGTGTAGGAGGAGTGTGTTTTTGTGTTGATTGGGGATGGTGATGGTTCTTGCATTTCATCTAATAACTAACAGACAAACCACGCCTGCGCCTACGTCTATGCCTCGCCGGCCCTCCTCACGCTCATTACATACAACTAATTCATAAAGAAAAATTTAACTAAAAATCTTAAGAAAGCTTTGCGAATAAATTATACGAGTAAGGTCGGTTTGTTCGGAAAAAATCTAAGCACGAGTGCACATATTATAAATATATATATAGACATACATATGCCCATATATTGTAGCTACATATATGTATATGTATATGTATATGCATATAAGTATTGACTTGCAAGATTATGGGTCTCTTGCTCTCTCTGTTTGTCTAACATGTTTTCGCTATGAACTGTAAGGTTCCTCCGATCTCCGTTTTCCGATCTCCAATTTCCGATCTTCAATCTCCATATCAGATATAGGGCGATCGCTTATAAAACTAAAGCGCGAAAAAAAAACTTGCTAAAATTAAACAAAAAAACGTTTCGTTGTTGCGCTCGCTCCAGCTCCAGCTCCATATCCAGCTCCAGCTTCAGAATCTGATTTAGATTCAGACTCATCTTCATCTTCGATCGATTGCAATTGCCGCTCCACATTTATGGTGATGACCATGGTTGGTCAATAGTGGCCGCCACCACCGCCTCCGCCTCCTGCGCCGGCACCGCCGCCACCAGCACCGCTGTGCCTGTGGTGCTCACGCCTGCCGGACGACTGATCCCGGTCACGATAGTCACCATTGCGAGAGCTGCTCTTATGGTGGTGGTGGTGGTGGCGCTTCTTCTCCCCCTTCAGGCACACGTCCGACACAACCATCTCGGAGTCGTCGCGCATTCCGTAGTTGTCGCGGCCGCATCTGCTAATGATAAATAATAGGTCAGAATCTGGACTCGTCCTGGTTGTTCCCTTGGGATCAGGGATTCGTGTAGACTCACCTGTCGAGATTCTCGCGGGATCGCTGCATATTGTCGCGCAGATTGTCACGGGAGCGGGTCATGCTGGGCGGGTCGAGGGTCTCCTTGCGGCGCAGAGCATTGTGCGAGCTGTTCTTAGAGGCGGACTCGTGCAAGTTCTCCCAGGCCTGGCGGTAGTACCTGCAAAACAATAATCGATCATTATTGAAGGTTTCAGGATTTTGTCACTTTACGATCCTCACCTGTTGAGTCCATTGCGAGAGCCGGAGGTGGAGCTGTCGAAGCTGGCAACCGTGTTGCAGTCGGGAGAGGCGCGATGGCGGTAATGTTGCGTGGTTCTATTTCTGTTTATCAACGGAGACGGAGATGGGAAAGAGGCAAAGAACAGGAGATTGATCAGTAAGGCGGCTTCATAACGGGGAAGAGGGGTTTGTTTCATCTACAAATAATTCGAGTATTTATGTATGTATATCGATGGCAAATATAGCGGGACGCTTCCAGGACGAATTTGTGTTGTGGGGGGTGGGGGGTTAGTTACAAGAGCTCAAAGTTCAACGTTCAAGGACAGGGTTAAACACAAAACAACGCACACAAAACAGTAAAGGAAAAAGGGCAGTAGTATAGAAGGTGTTGGAAAGAGACAACCGAGTGTAAGAGAAAACTAAAAGGGAAAGACAGACAGATAGAAATATATATATAGAGAGAGAGAGAAAGAGAGAAAGCCAGGCGTGCATGTATGATAGAGAGAAAGAGAGAGCCGAGTGTTTTGTGTATTTGATGTATCTTTATCTGTATCTGTATCGGTGCATGTGTATATGAATGTGTTGTGCTTGTGCTTGTGCAGGTGAGTGTGATTGATGAGTTGATTGACTGTCTGAATGATGGCAATGCAACAGCACAGAGAAAGAGGCGGCAGCCCACAGCATTCGTTGGTTGGTGTGGATCAGTGTGGAATCAGTGTTTGATTGTTTGTTTGATTGATTCA